AATTTAGACGATACTCACTACAGGCTTTTATTATGGCGTAATTCTTATGCGTCATGCCCGACAACATTTAAGGGCGTCACATTGTCTGTGCCTAATTTCACCGGAAATGTGCTCAATGTTTACACGACTTGTAAATAAATGATGACTCTCATTTGGCATTGAATTTTGCATTAATTTCATTTACTTTAAATTTTTAATTAAAAAAAAACAAAAATAATTTTTCAACTTTATAAAAATTTATTTATTTATTTATTCTTTTAAAAAATGTAATAGAAATTATTTTTTAAGTATTTAAAAGCTCGCTTTAAAGTATTATTCTAATTATTCTATACATAAGCCAATTTGTAAATTTAAGAAAATTGTTTCAAGTTCAAAGTAAATTTGCGCGACAATAGTATAATCTCGCGACCTTTTCAATTATTACAAAAAAAAAACTAGGTCAATGATGGGCATTTTCATTATTCTGGTTAAAATAAAAGGAAAAAAAACGCGAAATTCACTTTTGAGTCAATGAGGAAGCTTCATATTTACGCTCAAGTATGTAATGTTATGTGAATTTTAAACTGCATTTTTACGACATTCTATCACCTTCGTATGTCTCATTCATTCTCCACGGATAAAAATAACCAGACAATATTATAATATTTTATAACACAAAAAATTTTAATTAAAATTATTTAATTATTTTTAATTAAGATTTTAATTATATTTACATAATAATATAAGTCAAATTTATTTTTAAATAAAAAAAATTATTTTACTTTTTTCTTTTCCTTATATTTTGAATTAAAAAAATTTCTAAAAAAGATTATTATAGAACAGAACTTGAATTATTAATTTTATAATAATCGTTCGATGGATTTTAAACATAAATGTTTATTTAAAGAATACGATTCAAGAAAGACTTAGTTTCTTACGTCTTTGGATGTCAATAGATCATGAAAAGACTTCTCGACAGTATTTATGTATGGCTGATGATCAAATCTTTCCATCATTTTCGTTTTAAACTCCTATACACAAAAATATCTACGATCTATGAAGTCATTGAAGAAATATTATTGTTATACCAAAAATAGATTCTCAAATATTATATAATTTTGTTTTGATCGGAAAACCGCGTATTTGCGTAATTCTGTATAGATTATTAATAAATTTTAATCTCACTTTTAATTGAATTCGAATTTAAAATTTGTTTTTAAAAAATGGCTCAGTTTTGAAAAATAGTTAAACAAATAATCAGTATTTAATTTTGATTATTTTCAATTTTTTTTAAATAAAAATACCTTCTCATTAAACGTCGATGAAATTTAGAACTTTTATAATCAACGAGTTGAAAAGAATATTTCTCACTCAGAAAACTATAAAATTTTGCATGATCTACAAGTTTTGAAAGTTCAAATGAACGAAATATTTTTCATTAAAAATATTTTCATATTAATTGTAACAAAAATTTAAAACTTAAATTGAACATTTAGAAACTTTGTAATTAATTTTTTTAACATGTGACGCAAAATTATTCTCGTAACATGTTAATTTGAAGAAGAATTAAATAAATATTTTCATTTATTTAAACGTCAAGAACTTTAGGAGCATAATTTTTCTGAATACAAATTATTCTTTTTAAAATAATCAGTGTTGTCACAAAAATTTAATTTTGCTTTTCTCTGATTTCCAGAAAATTTCCCAAAATTTTTTTTAACTAAAATTCTTTTTCAAATCAATTACTTTTAATTATTTTAAAAAAATTTCTTTGAGAATTTAAATATATATTAGGAAATGAAAACTTCTAATAATTGCAAAAAAATTCTATTATAGGCTTTAAGTATTCAAAAAAATTAATTCTACAGAATTGTTAGTTAAAAGTATGAAAAATAAATATTTTTAAAGATTCTAATTTGAAATCTATTCAAAATTCAATTATTTCTAAAAATTCACGCTATAATGGTATAATAAATCTATTTCTATTAAGAAAATTCAACGAGAATTTAATTATTTAAATACAAAAATAAATAATTTATTGAATAATTGAATCTTTCATAAAATTTAATTCTCATCAAGAATTTCATCAACAAATTTTTAAATCATTGAATTCTTTCGACGAATTTTAATCAAATTTTTAAGAATAATTACGTGTTTCGAGGAATTTTATTAAAATTGAATTAAAAATAATTGAAATTCTACGATGAGTTTTATTATTTATGAAAATAATAGAATTAATGCGAAGAAATTTATAAAAAAATACATGAAAAATTATAAAAATTTGCTTTAAAAAAATATTCTTTCTCCTAATTCGTTGATTGTAAACGTTGTGAACTACAACAGTATCTCGTTAAAGAGGATAGAATGTAAAAAAATTAATTTCTAAAATATATTCTAGGAAAAAAATATAATAATAATAACGACAAATTTAAAACACAAAAGAAAACAATAATAATAATTTAAAAATAATAAATTTGAAAATCCCCTCTTGTATAATAGAGAAAATAAAACACCTCTTGAAAAAGATTTTCTTCAGCACTAATCTACATAGTCGTTTGTTTATAAATAACAAAATATTAACAAGACAGTAGTTTTCCACCTTGACACTAAATTGATTTGGTCATTTTTAGCATTGTAATTAATCAAATTTGAATACTTCTGGGAAGTAAAAAATAGTAAACGTATGATGACACATATACAAGGTCACTATTTGCAAAGGAATGTCTACTATAAAAATATAAATACTTTTGTTTCTGTCATCTTAAAGCCTGATGAGGCACGCACATGATGTTTATATTGTTTATTCGCAGAAGATTCAAAATTATTCAAAAATAAGAATTAAATAATTATTCAAAATGCTTTTTTTCATAAAATGAAAACTTGAGTTTGTAAATATTTTTTAACAGAAGAAAAATTGAATGGAGAAAAAATCATCATTTCTGTATTAATTTGAATTTTTATAGTTTTTAATTTATAATTTATAATTTACAATTTACGATTAACAATTATAAATTCGATTTTTCAATTTTAATTCTCAATCGAAAAACTAAATTCGATAAAAAATTATATAATTGATTATTTAGTGCAATTTTTTTATTTTTACTGAATGTGAATAATTTGAATCAAACGAAATTTCTATCGATAAAAAATAGCTGAGCGCAATATTTTTTTAGAACACTGAAAGATAATCCTATGATCAACATACCTAGTTGAAAACAAAGAAGTGTTTTATTCAAAGAAATATGTTGGAATTCAATATCATGTGATCGCATTTATGATTTGTGATGAACAGCTTAACTCTCGAGTATTCAAATAATTATCAGATCATTACCCTTTGATTGAAAAATAACAACTGTGAGTTAAATCGTGAAAAAAATAATTTTTATCCCGATTATTGATATTTATTAATTTATTAATTATTATTTATTAATTTCTATTGAATTTCAAAATTGTCCTCTTTTTAATATGAAAAACTAAATTGTTTGACAAATCGAAATTATGCAGCTATTTTTTCCATTTTTCTAAAGAAAAAATTTCAAAATTGTTGGAAAATTAAAATTAGAAAGTAGAAAATATTTTGCACAATTTCTGCTTCTCAATTGCAATTCATAAACAAAGTACAAGTTTAAAAAAAAAATGTTATGAATCAAAGTTTGTTTAAGAAATTTTTAATTTATTTTGGAAAAAATATTTACAAAATTTCCATTTGTTAAAAACGATTGTAAAATTATTCGAAAACATCAATAACTTCTTTTCTAAATAAATATTGAATCGTTATCATTTTTCCACAGGAATCAGGATTTTTAAAAATTTCAAATTTAAACCTTTTTGAAATTTAACAACTTATAAGAATATTTTATTATAAAACATGAAGAAATTGATTACTCCGAGGCGAAGACTCGGAGTGATCAATTTCTTTATTTTTTATAATAAATTAAAGATAACCGAGTGATAAAATCATTATTTTATATAATAGGAATATTTTCACTGCAATTTTTTCAAAATTATTTTCATTTTAATTCAATTATTCTCGAATTTTAAAATAAAATTCTTCTTTAAATTTGTAAAATAAATATTACGACCTTCGTGACATTTGAAAGTTCCTAACCTTATTTTTGACACAAGAAAAATTAATTATAATATAATATATAAAAAGAACTGTAGGTACTTACAAAAATAAATTCCAGTAATCATTTCTCGATAATATAATTCAATTGCCACTGATCCCCAATGTCAATTTTGTAAAAAAAATTATTATAATGATGAGACCATCAATCACGCAACTTTTTGCGTCACCAAAAAATTCGTCGATATTTTCGATAATTTCAGACAAATTGTAACAAGTTTCAAGTATTTTCTTTTGTACTCGTAGGTAGAATATATATTCTCCCCGTTTTCTCATCTCAAACTATTAAACAATACAAAAATAATGCTTATTCTGTGTTTAAAAAAAAAATGAAACAATTGTCGAATTTGAGGTTATGAAAGTATGCGAGATGCGACGTTTAAAAGCGTTTGCCATAACGGAAAAGAATTTACATTTTTTTACCCAATTTCTCAAAAATATAATATTTCTTACCAGAAAATAATACAATTGTAAAATAAAGCAAACATTTTTGAATTCCAATATAAATTTATGAAAATTATAAAAGTAATGACAATTGGTACGAACCATCGGAAGAAAATCAGGATAGACATCCTCGATATTTCGAGCAGTAAAATACATTTCCAATATGTTGGTATTAAATACTACATTTCTCATAACCACTGAATCATTAACTATACTTTTATTACTTAAAAATAATTAAAAATTACAATTGCAAAAAAACACTTTCACACATAGCTGACATAGCCATCTTTCCAAAATTTTGTGTATTCTGAAATGCGCAAAAAAATTTCTGAACTGCAAATTAAAAAATCTCTATTGGCAACACTGTGACTTGTGTCCAATGCATGAAATCTGATTGGTTCTTGTCGAGAAAGGACAACCAGTCACAATTCACAACCGAAGCATTTAAAAATGATCGAATTTTCTCCAAGTGAAATAGTGAATGGAAATAATTTACACATTATTTTCATCACGTTTATCACGTTCTATTATTTTTCTTGTAAAAAGGAGGAAAATTTATTGTGATACTGTTTTTTTTTTTGAATAATAAACAATATAATCATGATACGTGGAGCAGTGAGAGCTGCTAGAAGTGCAGTAAACGTGAGGAATTTCGCAAATGCACCTGCTCAAGAAGCAGTAGTATCAGCAACATTTAAAGTTCAGGATAATAAAGATTTTGATGAACGAGTAAAAAATTCTAAAGTTCCAGTTATTGTGGATTTTTTTGCAACGTAAGATAATAATTTTCTCTTGAAGAAGTACAGCATTTAAAAATATACATGCTTTCATAACCTCACTTTTTCCTGTTGAAAATAACATTGATTTGTAATATTATTGTTTTCCTCTTATAATTAATTGTTTTCAAAACAATTGAATAAAATGTTGTTGTTATAATTTAGTTTTGTAGTGGGATTTTTTATTGTTAAATTAGTCTTTTTTTGTCTCTTCTAGAATATACGTATAATTAAAAATTATTGTTTTGCAATATATTACGAAATACTTGACATAATTTCAAACTAACATGCTTATTTTGTAGATGGTGCAATCCTTGTCGAATGTTAACCCCACGTATTGAATCAGTGATCGCAGAAAAACAGGGGAAAATTCTACTAGCAAAAGTTGACATTGACGAACATTCAGATCTTGCTCTTGATTATGAGGTGAAAATTTTTTATTTATTCATTCTCGTATATTTTTCTGCAGGAAAATTATAAAATTTAATTGATAATTATTATAACGTATATTTTTAATATTTGGCACAGAACAGCCTCTGGTTAACATTAGTTTTAATTGGATTCATTTTAAAAATAGAAAATTTTATTTTATTAACTGTCCTCTACTAATGGCTCGATAAAGTTTATTTATAGTAACTTGAAAGAATATCAGTGTCAATATATTTTTTATTGAAATGCTAACTATCTTTTTTCTATTTTATATTTTTAAAATCTTGTCTTTTCTTTCGAAATTTTTAAAAAGTTGTAAATCTTCTTCTATATTAATAATCGTTGTATTCTGGTAATCTGTTCGCAGTTTGAAGTTAGTTTTTGTTTCCTTTTTTGTTTCATAACTTTTTTAATCATTTTTCTTTTTAAATAAGTATTTTCAATTTGAAAATTAATGTATTTATTGAAAATCATCGAATTGTAAAGAATTTTATCAAAAAATTTGATAATAACATAATTTCTTTGAAGAATTTTATAATTTAGGAAAATAATTAAATTCTCGTGAAGAATTTTGTTAACATTTTTAAAAATTCTAAATAAATTCTTTTTGAAGAATTTCTTTGAATTTTTTTTTAATAATAGTTTTTTTCTTTAATAATTTTAATTAAAAATTTTGAAAATAATTGAATTTTATGAACAATTTCCTTCAAGTTTTTTAAATAATCGTGTTTGTTAATATGTACTTGAAAAAGAACATTATTTAATCATTGAATTTTATTAACATTTTAGAAAATAATTGGATTCTTTTAAAAAACTTTATATCAAATTAAGAGAAAACTTGAATTCTTTAGTGGAATTTTTTTGAAAATAATTTAATTTTTGCAAAGAATTTTACTATTTATAAATATAATTGAATTGTTTCGTAGAATTTATGAAAATTTTAGAAAATAATTGAATTTTTCGCAAAATATTATTAAAAATTAAAAAAAAATTGAATTGTTTCATGAAATGTTATTAAAATTTTAAAAAATTATATTAAAGTAATTGAATTTTTGTAAATAATTTTACTATTTATAAAAATAATTAAAATGTTTTGAAGAATTTATTAAAATTTTAAGAAATAATTAAATTGTTACGAAGAATTTTATAGAAATATTTAAAAATAATGCATTTTTTTCAAAAATTCAATTAAAGTTGTTCCGAAAATAATTGAATTTCTTTGACGAATTTCAAAATAATTGAATTCATCACAAGAATTTTATTATTTTTTGAAAATAATTGAATTCTGTCGTGTAATTTTATTTAAATTGTATTAAAAATAATTCAATTTCTGCAAAGAATTTTATTTACAAAAATCGTTGAATTATTTTGAAGAATTTTTTAAAATTTTAGGAAATAATTGAAATTTATGGAAATATTTAAAAATATTTCAATTCATCCGAGGAATTCAATTAAAATTGTTTAGAAAATAATTGAATTCCTGCAAAGAATTTTACTATTTATAAAATTAATTGAATTCTTGCGAAGAATTTTACTATCTATAAAAATAATTGAATTTTTTCGAAGGATTTATTAAAATTTTAGAAAAAAATTAAATATTTTCGAAATATTTTAAATTTTTCTAAAAAATTGAATTTTTCCGAGGAATTTAATTAAAATTGTTTTGTAAATAATTGACTTTTTGTAAAGATTTTACTGTTTAAATAAATAATTAAATTGATTAGAAGAATTTATTAAAATTTTAGAAAATAATTGAATTCTCTCGTGAAATTTTATTAAAATTTTTGAAAATATGAAATATAATTAATTTTGTACTTAATAAGTGAATTTTTTGAATTTTGATTATAATATTATTTAAAAAATTTATATTTGAAAATAAAAAATTTTGTAATATGCATAATAATAAGTTAATAAAAAACTGAATAACGTTTCAATTTAATATTCAGAATTAAATTTTAGGAGAGCTAAATTTTTTGATATTTAAAAATACAGTAAAAAAGACAATTGAATAGAATAAGTCAAAGAATTAAGTAGAAACTTGTACTAACAAAATTATTATTTTAATTAATTAAAAATATTAAAAAAGCAATTTTCTTCTCAGGTCGGTTCGGTACCGGTATTAATTGCCATGAAGGACGGCAAAGTTTTGGAGCGAATTGTTGGACTACAAGACACAGACAAATTACGTCAATTTGTCGACAAATATGCAAAATAATAGTAGATCTTAATTGTATAAAGGTGTGATTGGATTATTTTAGAGTAAATAGATTTACTATACATCACAATTGAAGTCTCAGAATTTTATAATTGAGAGGACGTAAAACACAATTTGTGAATTATGTATTTGTAAGATAGCGAAAGCTATTTTAAAAGTCAGGGATTAATAATGTACAACGGTGTAAAGTAAAATATTCGAAATAAAATTTTAGACTTTACAAATTTTCTCATTTTTATTTTTAACAATTCAACATATATAATTAAAGTATAAAATCAATACTTTGTACAATTGAAAAAAAATTATTTAACTTAAATATTAATTACATTTGAACAATAATTTTAATCATAACACTATCTGAATTATTAACTTCAAAAAACTAAACGATTTTAAATTCGAAAACTAAATAATTTGAAATTAATAAAATTTAAATTATTTGAAATTGATACTCCAAAAAATTTCAAAATTTGATAATTTAAATAAATAAAAATTTATTTATCATTGTAATATTATGATTTTAAACATCTGTTGGTAAATTTTGAAGCAATTGCCTTGCTCTTTGATATTCTACTGATTCGACAGCGTCTTCTGATTCCTCAAATTTTGCTTCGACCTCTTTAACAACGTCCATAGCTTTCTTTAGTAGAAGATCTTTTGCTTTTCCTTTGCATCCTTCGAAATATTCTATTACGGTGGGATAAAATTTGTCCGGTATTAATTTTTCATCGAGAAAATGGTTCACTAACCATGCTTGCTTTATTGTTTCGAATTTCCACTCGCTTCTTGCATGTTTCCACTGAAATAAAAAAAAATGTCAAGAATTAAATTAAAAGAGGAAATTAAATTAAAATTAAAAAAGTGTTCGAATTAAATATTAAATAAATATAGTATTGGAATTGAAGAATTTAGTTTAATTGATAATTGATTTAAATTACTTAATTTTAATTTAATTGAAATAAAGTTTAATTAAAAACAAAATTGAATAAATTAATATATTTAAAATATTAAAAATGCATTTGAAAAATTTTGATATTGAAAATACAATTAAAGCTTAGATTATAAATTTTATACAAAGAAATGAAAAGTTAAGTAGAGATTTAGATTTAGAGATTAAAAATGAATTAATTCGTTAAATTAAAGAATAGAATGGAATTAAGTATTATTTTCATCGTGCTACAATTTTGTTTCAATTCTTACGATCTTCTCCCTGTAAATAAGAAATAAATTATAATAAAAGATAATTACAGTCGTAAATATTTGAAAAAGTGAAAAATAAAGAATGTTAAATTAAGGAAAATATAATTATTTAAATAGTGTAATAATCAATTACCTTAGACAGATAATTTAGAACATTAGCTGCAGTCTTATGCTTGGCTGCATCATGTTTTTCTTTTTCTCTTGTTTCTTGTTTTTCTTTTTTCAATTGTCGTTTAGAGGGTCCTTTCTTTTTTTTAGTCTCATTATTATCTTCGTCACTTAGTTGTTCTTTTGAATCGTCTCCATCTTTCTCTTCCTCAATTTTTAATTTCTTTTTCTTTGGCTTTTTAACTGTGTTATCACTTTTAGTTTCCTCGTCTTCATTTTCAATACTTCCATCTGCCTCTAATTTTTCTTTTATTTCCTTTCTCTTCTTTTTCTTTGTCTTCTTAGTTTCATTGCCATTTTTCATCTCTTCGACTTGTGGATTTTCTTCATTTATTTCCAATTTTTCAACTTTTGTTTTCTTTTTCTCTTTCTTTGATTTTTTAACTTCTTTTTCATTGTCTTCTTCCCGTACATTCTCTGTGGATTCTTCATCTATTTCTAATTTTTCACTTTCATGTTTCGATTTTTTCTTCTTCTTGGACTTCTTTTTCTCTTTATATTCAGTGTTATCTTCAGTTTCGTTTAAATTGATTGAATCATTTGTTGATTGGATGTCTTCTTCTGGATCAATATTTCTTTTCTTTGATTTCTTGTGTTTTTTCTCACTAACATTAGAAATATTGATTTCCTCTTTCTCGAGTGGTATTTCATTTTTTAAATTGTCAATCGATTTCCTAAAAAAATAATCTATATTAATGATCGTTTTATTCCGGTATTCTGTTCACAGTTTGAAATTAGTTGTTGGTTTGCTTTTTTGTTTCATAACTTTTGAAATAATTTTCCTTTTTAAATGTTTTTAATATTAAAATTAATGTACTGTCAAATCATTGAATTCTTGCAAAGCATTTTTCAAAAAATTTAAAAGTAATTGAATTCCTTCGAAGAATTTTATTATTTATGAAAATAATTGAATTCTTTCGAGAAAATGTAAAAAAATTGTATTTGAAAAAAATTTAATTCTTGGCAAGATTTTTATTAAAATTCTTTAAAATAATTAAATTGTTTTTAAGAATTAATTTCAATATTCTTGAAAATAATGGAGTTTTTAAAAAATAATTTTTACTGAAAATTTTGAAAGAAAGTGAATTTTATGAAGAATTTCTTTTAATTTTTTAAAGTAATTGTGTTTATTATTAATTGCAATTAATAATTTTTCTATTAAATTATATTAAAATTATTCATAGAAAATTAAATTCTTTTAAACAATTATATTAGATTTTTTCTAAATAATTACATTTTTTTTAAATTTCATTAAATTTTAATTACATTTTTTTTTAAATTTCATTAAATTTCGTAAAAATAATGTAATTTTTAATCATGTTAATTGAAAATTTTGAAAATAATTAAAATTTACAAAGAACTTTATAAAAAACTTTTGAGATCAATTGAATTGTAGAATAATTTTTTATTACAATTATTAAAAATTTGAAACCCGTCAGAGAAATTTTATTAAAATTGTATTGAAAATAATTGGATTTCTCAGAAGAATTTTCTTATTTACAAAAATAATTGAATTCTTGTGGAGGATTTTACAATTCATATAAAAATAATTTAATTGTTTCAAAGAATTTTATCTGAATTTTTTAAAGAAATTTTATTAAAAATTTCATTCAAAAAATTGTATTGAAAATAATTGAATTTCTTAAAAGAATTTTATTTTTTACAAAAATAATTGAATTCTTGTCAAGAATTTGACAATTTCTAGAAAAAATTGAATTCTTTCAAAGAATTTTAAGTATCTCAGAATTGTTGAAAATAATTGAATATTGTTATTGAAACTCTTGAAAATAATTGAATTTAAATAATATTTTTAAAAGTAATTTAATTTTTCTGAAACATTTTATTTGTTATGAAAATAATTGAATTTTTTTGAAGAATTTTATTATTTATGAAAATATTTAAATTCTTCCGAAGAATTTTTTTTTATTTACAAAAAGAAATATTCTTGAGAAGAATTTTATAATTTATAAATTATATTATTAAACTACAACAATATTGATTAATTTTACTTGAGTAATAATTAAGTTTAAATACCTTTCTTAATTCGTTAAAAATGAATTATAGATGAAGGAAAATAAACGAAAACATTCGAACAAATTAATTTATAGTTTACTCCACATGTTCGAAATCTAAATGTTTTCGTTTATTTTCCTTGATCTATAATTAATATTTCTCGGACGTAAAAGATTGATTAATAAAAATGAATTACATTTATATATAAATATTTTATTATACATATTATGTATAATAAAATAAAACTATTTATATATTACAAAGGGCAATAATAATGAACTATAGAAAACATGAAAAACACGTGGTTAAGAATAAACTGTAACACAATGACAAACCTTTCATTTTTTAGCTTTTTTGGAGAATTCTCGTCAATTGCCCCATCAGGACTTGTAGGTCGTTTCATCAACTTATGTTTCATTGTAAATTTAATAATTTTTTAAATATTAGTAACAATTTATTTAGGGTGTAAAATTTTTGTTTACTTCTAACCTCACTTTTTTACAAACAACAAGAACAACAAGATCGCCAACATCGACAATCATCGGTGTTCTTCGGTTCGTATCGAGCATGTTCGTCAATTTTCGTGCATTGTTGTCAATTGTCTTTTCATGAAACTCATGGAAATGAAGCTTAAACTTAAAGGAACAAAATTCTATTATTGAATTTTAAAAATAAATGAAATTCGCAAAGAAAAATTAATTTTGATTATTGTATTATTCTCCACATTATTGAATTTAATTTATTGTGTTTTTGATTAAGATTGCGAATTTTATAGTTAAAAAACTTACTTAAAAAAAAGTGACACAACATACACCTAACTACAGGAAAGGTAACTTTAATATTTATTATTATTATTGTTTGTATGTAAAATAATATTGCGTCATTTATAAAATGTTTCAATTTTAGAAAAACGTTTAAAGAATTTACATAAACGAAAAGTTTTCAAACACAAATTGTCGACAAATTTAAAGAATTGACGGAATTGACATAATGATTTTGTTGAGGTTAGGTTCATTGTGTGCAAAAAATTCCAACTTATCTCAAAGGTAATTAAAATAAATTATTACAAATTATTACGGTGAATGTGTTGATTATACAAAAATTATATTTTTTGTTTTTTAGATTACTTCCTCGGATATGTAAATTGAATTTTTGTACGAAAGCCAACGACAAACAACAACCTTTAAAATTGACGGAGAGCGATGATGTAGATGAGCCGGTTGTTTATTCGAGAACAAAAGCCTATACACATTTAGCTAAACATTCTCGTTATCGTGAACCAAATTGGCCTGCATGTACACCATACGTAATTATGGTTAGTTTTGCTATTTTCATGATCTATTTCTGTATTTTAAGAGAGGAAAATGATATTGACGACCTACTTGACATGCCTCTTGAAACTCGATTGAAACAAATTGAGGCACAACGTAAAATGCAATAATGATATAAATAGTATAATTTAGAAAATAGTTTTCAACTTTTACTTTAATGAAACCTAATGAATGTTTCAGATAAAGTTTTTAAATTGTACATAATCTGTAATTATCCTGCACATGTATTAAAAATTAAAATAATTTACTTGTCTCTATTTTACTCATTCTCTCTCATTGCAATTTTATTTCATAATTTCAATTTGTTTTAATAAAATTAAAAGTTTTTTAAAAATAACGAAAAAAAAATATTTATAAATTATAGCTGTCAATTAAAAAATTTAATTGAAAATGAAACTTAAAATTTTTTTATTATTAGAAAATAAAGGAAAAAATTTTATTAAAAAAAATGTTCTATTAAATTTATTTACGAAATATTTAATTGTATAATTATTCAAAAAAAAAAAATTCCTTTTCTAAATATTCAATTATTATTATTTTTTCATAGGAATGATAATTTTCTAAAATTTCCAATTTAAACCTTTTTGAAATTAATCAAGTTTAAAAATATTGTTATAAAACAAAAAGATCAAAATTCAAAAAATTCACTTATTAAGTACAAAATTAATTATTACTATTCATATTTTTAAAAATTTTAATAAAAATTTCACGAAAGAATTCAATTATTTTCTAAAAGTTTAATAAATCCTTCAAAACAATTCAATTATTTTTTTAAGTAGTAAAAATCTTTACAAAAATTCAATTATTTTCAAAACAATTTTAATTAAATTCCTCGGATGAATTCAAATATTTAAAAATATTTCCATAAATTTCAATTATTTCTTAAAATTTTAATAAATTCTTCGGAACAATTCAACGATTTTTGTAAATAGTAAAATTCTTTGCAGGAATTAAATTATTTTTAATCCAATTTAAATAAAATTACACGAAAGAATTCAATTATTTTCAAATATTTCCATAAAATTCAATTTCATCAAGAATATAAAATTCTCTAAAAATAATTTAATTATTCTCAAAATATTTTTAAAAAATTCTATATAAAAATTAAGTTACTTTTAATGCAATTTTAAAATATATTCTTTAAAAAATATATTGAAAGAATTTAATTATTTTCAATAGAAAATAAAATTTTTGTGATGAATTCAATTATTTTGAAATTCTTTAAAGAAATTCAATTATTTTCAAAATAACTTTAATTGAATTTCTCGAAAAAATTTCGTTATTTTCCAATATTTCTATAAAATTCTTCGTAACAATTTAATTATTTCTTAAAATTTTAATAAACTCTTCAAAACATTTCAATTATTTTTATATAAATAGTAAAATTCTTCGCAAGAATTCAATTATTTTCAATACAATTTTAATAAAATTCTTCTTCATAAAATTTTATTGCTTTGAAAATTTTCAATTTAAATTATTAAAGAAACTCCATTAGTTAAAAAAAATTCAAAGAAATTCTTTAAAAGAATTTAATATAAGGATTTTTCAAAATTTTAATAAAATTCTTGGAAGGAATTCTATTATTATTAAATTTTTTGATAAAATTCTTTGCAACAATACGATGATTTTTAATACATTAATTTTAAAATTGAAAATATTTGAAAAGAAAAATTATAAAAAAAGTTAAGAAAGAAAAACAATTTTAATAAAATTTTTTTGAATAGTTACATTTTTCAAGGAATTTGATTAAAATTATATTAAAAATAATTGAAATTCTCCGATGAGTTTTGTTATTTCTGAAAATAATTGAATTGTTGAAAAGAAACTTATAAAAAATTTGTAGATATTTGGATTTCTGTAAAATTTTTATTATATTTATGAAAATAATTAAATGTTTGCGTTCAATTTTATTAAAATTGTTTTTTAATAATTGAATTCTTTTGGGTTATTTTATTGAAATAGTAGATATTGAATATCATTGAAATGAGGAAAATTTTTGAAAATAATTGAAAATTTGACAATAATTTTATTAAAATTTTTGAAAATAATTCAATTTTGAAGAAGAATTTTTTTATTTGTAAAGATGTGGTTAAAAAAGTGGTAAAGTAAAGTTGTAACTTCTTCAAAATTAAATTTTTTTTAGTGTTTTTAACTAAAATTCTTCTATAAATCCATTATTTTTAATAATTAATTAAATAGATATTGACAAATTTATCTAATTTTAGAAGATTTTGAATTATTAAAATTTTTCAAAAATCTAAGTTTATTTAAATTTCCAATTTAAATTCATTTTTCATTGAAATTTTATAAAATTTCAAATTGAAACCGTTTGACGTTCATTTATTTATGAAAATTGTAAAGGCAACTCTCAAAATATAAACAATGTATTTTATATATTTTTAATTTATTATTTATTAATTTTTAGAATTCAAATTTTCGCGGTATAATTTGAATAGGAAGTGCTGACATCTTTTTGCTTGTTTTTACGTAATGCGCATGCGCGATTGAATTTGAAAGGCTAGAAAAACTAGACTACTGCGCAGTTAGAACAATTAAAGAGTATTTCTTCTCATTTAATATTATTAACTTTTTATGAATTAATAAATACGGGAATAATAACAAATTTATATGGTATTAATTGAGAAAATGGACAATTGTATTTTGGATCTATTTTTTTTATCGCATTTTTGTCATTCTTTCGACGACAGCAGCGCCAACTGTACGTAACCTCTGAAACTTCGTGCGCAATGGAGGCTCATTTTCAATAAAATTTTCCTGCATGTACGTAATGTGTTTTTGAGAGTTAAAAGTGGAGCATTTTGTGTGATAGTGAGACTTTTATTCTCTGTGAAAGCCAGTGAACATATTGCCCTAGGTGAGTTAATGAGAATACAAAAAATTTATCATTTATATCCTATTTACTTTTGTCTCGGTGCGAGGCTAAAAAAATATAAATATAACCTGTCTCCGTATTCGGTCAACTCTCCTCTTTACTCGTAAGCATTTTACGACTCATTTTTTTCTCCCTCTTGATATTTTTATTGGAGAAATATTTTTCCCCAACATTATTCGAATATTAATTGTTTTAACTATTTTTCGAATAAATATTGGAAAAAATTCAGTCGTATAGGAGCCTCGAGGATAATTTATCAAATTGCTTTGAGAAAATTACGATATTGTGCATAGTAGTCGCATATTGATAGTCGTGAATATATCAAGTTTATTTACGTCCGGCTTTTTGTGAGATTCATACGGTAGATTATTGTATGATGCTTGGTATTTATATTTGTAGAATATCCTTCGAAAATGTTAATGCGATGTAGGTATTTCTTTTTCTTTTTTGAAAGAAGAAAAAAAAGGTCTTGTACGTGGCAGTTCGCTTTCGTTCGGGTCCTTTCGGATTTATCGCGTTTTTCATCGAAGCAACAAGCGACCTGTGAAATCAGCACATCTTGCGGTAAATTACCGATTGGTAAGACGATGACCATTGTATTTTGAAAGACTGCACTGTCTTCTAAGATATTCATTTTTAGAAGGTATATCATTTTACCGCATACATATATCTATATATAAATTTCTCTATTTTCTCGCAGCAGATTTTCTTAACCTCAACACTATGTTCTATAAGATTCGAAACTTTCTCTTAAGCGACACTGTGCAAATTGCTCGCTAAATTGAATTAATCAAATAGAACTTCCGGTATTATATATTTCTTATTTTTCCCCTATTTCACCCAAGTTTTAATGTCATCGTTTTATTGGATTTTTTTGCTAGAAATATAGAGAAAAACTTTGAATATTTGCAGAGCAGAGAGAGAGAGAGAGAGATATTTTTATAGGCGAAATATGGAATTGCTTTAAAGTTTTTGCGTTGTGAGAATGAAAAAAAGGTTTTATGTTCTTTTTTATTGGGAAGGCCGTTTATAGAGTGGACAATAACATATACACCATCTACCGATAGATCCTCTTCCGGTTTCCTCAGCGTGCCAAGTAGGTCAGCCTCCCAGGAGAACTAGTTAATGGGAATTAACATCAAATGACAAGTTTTGCCTATTATATATAGTGTCGAACAGGAGATGCATTCTATAGACATAAATCATCTCATTATAAATCAAAAAATGAATTGGATTAATAATTATTTGCATAAATGTCGTGTTTGAAAATAAGGTGGGAGTGTCTTAGGAATGTGGTCTCAACTTCTTGCACGTATTTATTTCCCATTTGCCTCCTCGTCTGGCAGAAATTTCCTCTCGCTGAGATTCCTCACCTTCCAAGTAAATTATTTTCCATGATACTTTGATCTATAGTGAGTTTATTATATACATACATTCACGTCAGTGATTTTATGATTCTTTTACGTTAATATATTTTATAAAACACTACTAAATCCCCTGTGTATATTTAAGTATATCATTATTTTAAATTATGAGAGAGAAAATTAATTACTTTCACTCTAGTTGTTTAAATAAAAATTCAAAAATTCCATCTCGTTTATGAAAAAATAAAATTGAAAGAATAAAACTTTTATTTTTAGAATTTATTTTTGGTCTAGATATTTTACCTTGAATTGAAATTTTTTTTTACATTTTCATAATATTTTTTCTTCACTAAATATTGTTACAATACAAGTGTATAATGAAATTCAATTATATAGACGAAATGACAGATTTTTATTCGAAAATAACAATAATTTAGCATTGTATGTTTTGTAATTAACGTTAATATTCTTTTATTTTTGAAAAAATTGGTTTATTTGTATTGGAGTGGCTTGATTGAAGGTATAGTAACAAAACTCGGTAAATATTTTTTTTAAACTTGCAATTCAAATGAACTAAATGTCAACCGGGAGTAAAAAAAACCCGACTTTGATATTAGAATTGTAGATTGCGTTTACATTACACAATGTGTTAAAACTTTGATATAAATTTACATTTTAAACGTCACTCGATATCATTAAAAGAACAAAAATTTAAGTTGGTTAATTTTAAATTTCGTCTACATAAAGAATATTTAAATTAATTACTTTTTCTCTTAATCTTTTGTTTCTTTTTTGTCATTAATTTTAATTTCCAATAGTTTTTGGTAAAAAATATATAATATATAATAATATATATAATAAAAATATAATAAAAAATATATAATAATATTCAATAAATATTGAATTTGTTATTGGTTTTTATTTCTTTGAGTAACTTTTGAAAATATTTACATTAAAAAAATATTTCATTCAGATGAACGTTCAGAATTTTTTGAGCAAGATTTTTTTCTATATTAATTGTTGAAAATATATTTGCAATTAATAATTATAAAATTATACCTATACATATAAAACTATAAAAATTAAAATTATAAAAATTACAATTAAAATTAAAACACAATTTCCAATTTATTGTTAAGTTTCGTTTTAGTATAAATAAATAATAATTTTCTTAATAAATTTTGTTTACCATAAAACTCTTTTGTTTTTATATTAATTTTCGATATTTTTATTTTTTAAAAAAGATTTTAAAATAAATTTTTATTTATAAATGTCACTTAATAACTTTTTCAGTGTTTTCTCTACATTTTGTTTTTATTTTTCCTTATTTTATTTTTGTAATTATATGCCTCATAATTATTTTTATCCTTTATAAAAATACTTTTTTTTGTTAAATTTATCTATTTAATATTTTTAATCGGAATTTAATTATAAATTTGTACTTTGAAAATAATGTCTCGATTATTATAAATTTTATTATTAATTATAACTTTTCGTTTTATTTATTTATTTATTTATAATAATTTTACGGTTTTTGATTTTCTTATGTCCCTAAAAAAATAGAAATAATTAAAACACTTTGATAACAAATATACTTCAAAAAATTAACTTTGAAAATAAATATACTTTGATAACAAAATAGATTTTAAAAATAAATAAACGTCGCAAAAATAAATATATTTCGAAAATAAATAAACTTTGAAAATAAATATACTTTGATAACAAATATACTTTGACAATAAATATATACTTTGATAACAAATATACTTTGAAGATAAATAAACTTTGAAATTAAAAAATTTGGTCGTTAATTTTAATGTCTTCATCATTAATTTAATTTTTTTTTCTACTTTAATTTAATTTTTTTATTTAATTTTATTTTTATATTTATTTTTCTTTTTAATATAAACACTAATTTGAATACTTTATTTGTAAGGTGTATATACTTTTGTCGGGGTATACTTGTAATGATACAATTTGCTATATTTTTTCCTTTTATTTCACAAAATATATTTATAATTTAGACGATTTCGACTTTACTTCTTCTTTATTTTCTCCTCTTTGACAATAATTATATATTTAAAATGCAAAGACTATCAAAGTTAAGAATTCTTTACTTCGAAAAATAATTTAATTCTATATAGAGAGAACACAGAAACTTTCTAGATGGTGTAATTATGTGAGAATAGCCTGCAATTATATGTCAACGTGTGATATTGATTTAGTATTTAAAATCCTTGATATTTTTTCCCCAAGAATCTAAGAAAGGGTTGAAATATAGGGTTGCAGTGAAAGAATAAATATTTTCTACTCATATAATTTGAATTAAATAATTTGCAGAAAGTATATTTTGTTTTTATGCGAAAAAATAGTTTTGCTTGTTATTTATATTTTTTTGTATTATTATATTTTTTTTCCGCTTTTTGAAAGTTAGAAGTTTTAGGTTTTGTTTTGACGTCGTTAAAATGCTGTCAATGTAATTGTAGTAAGCGAAACGTAATGGTTCGGCAACTCCTTTAAATGGTAGAAGGCACTGATTTGACAAAGATGGATAGATTGCAGGTGTAACAAAATACGGAGATGTCACACTCATGCACGCGAACAAAAATAGTCTGATTAAATAATCCAACAAACATTCCCATATAAAGACTCTTAGTGCGAGAGATAAAATTTATAAACAATGCAAGTATACTTCTTCATTAAAAGAGTCATATCCTTTATAAAAAGTAGACTATATAAAAATTATTTTTATTTTCCTCAGTAAAACAGTAAATACAATTTTTACCTTGAAAATAATAATTCTTCTCCAAAATTCAAGTATCTTCAAAAATTTTAATAAAATTCTTCGCAAAATTTCAATTTTATTATCAACAATTTTCCTCAATTCAATGATTTTCAATATCTACTATTTTAATAAAATTTTCCAAAAGTATTCAATTACTTAAAAAAAAAATTGAAATAAAATTCTACGTAACAAACAGCTTGACCCCCCCCCCCTTCCCCAAAAAGTGCTACGAAATATATGGACGATCCAAAAAATTCAATTATTTACAAATCTATCTTTTATAAATTTTTTCGCAATAATAATTCAATTATTTTCTTAAATAATGTAAAAATTTTACAGGGATTCAATTATTTTTGTAAACAATTTTTAATATTTTAGGAAAAATATTTATAGGAATTCAATTATTTTCATAAACAACAAAAATTTTCACAGGAATTTAATTATTTCAAACAAAATTTTCATAAAATTTTTCGAAAAAAATCAATTATTTAAAATAAATTAATAAAGTTCTTTGTAAGAATTCAATTATTTTTGAAAATTTTAATAAAATTCGTTGCAAAACATCAATTATTTAAAATAAATTAATAAAGTTCTTTGTAAGAATTCAATTATTTTTGAAATTTTTCATAAAATTCGTTGCAAGAATTCAATTATTTAAAAATTTTAATAAAATTCTTCTTATTAATTCAATTATTATTTTAAAAAGTTTAATAAAATTCTCGGTAAAATTTAAATTATTTTCAAAAATTTTCCTCAATTCAATAATTTTCAATATCTACTATTTTAATAAAATTTTCCAAAAGAATTCAATTATTTAAAAAATATTTTAATAAAATTCTACACAAACATTTAATTATTTGCATAAATAATAAAAATTTCACGCAGGAATTCAATTATGTATTTACAAATTTTTTATAAATTTCTTCGCATTAATTTTATTATTTTCATAAATAATAATGAAATTCTTTTTAGGAATTCAATAATTACATATTTTCAAAAATAATAAAACTCATTGCAGAATTTCAGTTATTTTTAATACAATTATTTTAATCGAATTCCTCGAAAAATGTATATTATTTTTAAAAATTTTATTAAAATTTGTCAAAAGAATTCAATTTAAAGAAACATTCATTTATTCAATAAGTTATTAATTTTTGTATTTAAATAATTGAATTCTAGTAGAATTTTCTACTAAAAATTGATTTAAAAATTAAATTCAGTAGATAATAATTGAATATCAGCATTATAGCGTAGTGAATATTTGGAAATAATTGAATTTTGAAAAGGTTTCATATTAAAATCTTTGGAAATCTGAATTTTTCATATTTTTAATTAATAATTCTGTGTAATTAATTTTTTTGAAAAGGTTTAATTGAATTTTTTTTTGAAATTTTTTGAAGTTATTATTTTTTAACATATTTAATTGAAGAATTTGCGAATAATTGAAATTTTGTAAAATTGAATTGTAAACAAATGAATTTGAAAAGATGTAAATAATTTTGAAGAAGTTACAGTAACAATATTGTTATAATATAAAATAATGATTTTATCGCTCGGTCATCTTTAATTATTATACAAAAAATTTAATTTATAGTTTTAAGTAAAATGTTATCTTATTCAATTCGGTCCTGTTTATATTTTTGGCAGTAATTGGTCCGTAATTTTTCATTTTTGGTCCGCAAAGTCCGTATTTTTAAATACTTTCACTGGGTTCGAGCCCTGTACAAGAGCAAAGAGCGAACATTTCCAAAAGATTTCTAATTTATTGAATAATAAACGTTCTGAACAAAATTTATTTGTTTCTTCTTCAAACTGAACTATTTTTACAATAATTTTGCGTCACGTATCATAAAAATGAGTTAGTTTCTAAAAATATTAAATTTAACTTTCAAAATTCGATAGTAAACACTTTTCTCTTGGGACATTTTTCGATTAAAAGTAAAATTACGAAGTTAGAGGCTCCGTAATGTTCAAAAATACCGAAAAAACACCAAAACTTTTAAGAAAATGAAACTTTTTTCTAAAAGTAGTTTTCATTCTTTGTAAAGTTATATGGTTAACTTTAGATCAATTCTTTCAATTGTCTTTTACCCTAATAACAAAAGCAAACAAACGTTTAATTTCTTACAATGCAGATTAAAATAATTTATAGTTTTTAAATAATTATAACTTTTTGAATAAAAACGAAGCTGAAACTAGCACCTGTAGTTAATTTTTCAAAGTTTTATATTGGTTTTAAACTGAAGATAAGACTTTTCATTTGTCCACTTGAAAAATATAAAAACTTGATACTTAAAGATTATATATGAACAAAGTTTCAATACTGTGCTCCAAATAGAAATTTCTTTATTTTTACGTAATGAAAAGTTAAAAGTTCCAGAGACATTTTCTTTCTTTAATGTTTAATTTTCTACTTCTGAAAATAACAGAAAAAATTCTCGCATAAAAGAAAAAAAGGAATAATGGCAACATATAGACAAATATAGAAATATTGTGTATGCAGGCGCATCAGAATAATCAATTTCATTATTATTATGGAGATACCGCAAATGTGATTTCGACTATTATTTCCTTTAATACTGAAAATAATCCTTTAATTGCTATTTGAAAATCAGTTTATAATTGCAATGCGATGAGTATATTTTCTGTGTCGATTCAGTTTATTATTGTACGCGAGGTGAAATTCCATTATAAAGTGAAATGTAGATCTCATATTATTAATAAATGTAGGAAAAAAAAAGAAATAGCATATCATAACTTATCAAAGTATATGATAAATACTACGTAATATACGCGAGATGTCCGAATCATTATTATTTATAAATAATATAAATTGACCGATAAATATATATAAACCTTCCCGGGTAGCAATTGTAGTCTGGATCAGGTCTGGAACTGATCCGGTATGATCTGTGCCAGATCTGGTAACCACGTCTGGACCAAAGCAGGTTTGAAACGCGGAACGTGTATGGACCGTGTAAATAACCAGATTTGCTTTTTCTAGTGGTAATGAGTTACCGACCGGTTTTTTACTGGTGGTAATAGGTTACCGACCGGGTTTCTCCATCGGTAAACTTTGTTATGAATTAAGAAGGAAGATTTTCAATTAAAATAAAAAACATTTTAAAAACTTTTTTTTAATAAATATATTTATTTATACCTTATAAAAGAATACATATATTTTTTCATATATTTATAATTATATTAAAACTATTGTTTACGCTAAGTTTATTACTAAAATATATATATTTTTTTAAGAAAGCTAACTAATAATATAAATCTTTATAAATGCTTTCTAAATTTGAAATATTAATGAGTGTCTGATTTGTCATTAAAATATTAATCATTCATACGATGGTAATATTACTATTTAATGCTGAAACTCCCATTCATAAATCAGCAGGTTACGGGTTTTAGTGGGTCGGGCTGGTAGTAGGTCGCCAGTTTATTAAATTTATTATAACATTTATTTATTTATCCTTTTTTTTTAAATTCCCTTTTTTTTTTTTATTTTACCAACCCCACATAACCTTGGAGTGCGGAATCCAAGGTATCTGTAAACAGATTTCCCAAAATTCCCTAAGCAAAAAAAAAAAAAAAAAAAAAAAAAGAAAAAAAATGACTAGAATAATTAATTTAATTTATATTTAGGATATATTGAAAAAAATAATTTTTTTGCTAACTTATTCAATTACTTAAATCTCCTTTGCTAATTAACATCCACAGTATATTTTTTGATTAAATCAGTAATTTTTCAAAAAATAACTGATTCATTAATGAAAATTATTCAGTTACATTTGTACTGACTGAATTAGTAAAAATTTTACTAATTTAAATATAAAGAGATTAGAAAAATTCCACGTGAAGTGATATATTTTATTTTTTTATAGTTCATTTTAAAATATTTTTGTGTACTCTTGAAATTCTAAAAATATTTTTTTTTAAATTAATTTTTTGACCTCTCTTTATTTGAAAAGTAAACCTTATTTTTCAATTTTTCAAAACTATTTAATTTTATATCCTTTAATTATTTTTACTTGAAAGCTGTGGTTTTTACCATTAAAATAGATTAAGAATGAAAATGAGACAACAATATACGTTCAAGAAAATAAAGAAATACAATTTTTTTAACACTTTTTTTATTTTCTTGAAAATTTATATTGTTGTCATATTGTGTTAAAAAAATTTTTTTAGAAAATATTTCTGAAATCAAAGGTATACCAGAAATTCTTTAAAATTAACTATATAAAAATTAAAATCTGTCAAATTTATTCAGTTTTATATTAATTGTAATTTATCAATTTCGATTCAAACAGAAATTTACAGAATTAGTTTTTAAAAAAGTTTATATTGCCTTCAATATAAACTTTTTCAAAAACTAATTCTATACAATCCTTATTGTATTAGAGTCAGAATTCGTGAAATTTTCACAAAAAATAAAAATAATTTTTTTTAAATCGAAATGTTGAAAAAACATTTCTATTTGGCCTTAGGAATGTGTCCACCAAAGAACAGACAAAAAAATTTTTTTTATAAAAAAAAATCTGCAATAACTTTTTATAAAAAAAATTTTTTTGTCTGTTCTTTGGTGGACACATTCTTAAGGCCAAATAGAAATTTTTTTTTAACATTTCGATTTAAAAAAAATTCTTTTTATTTTTTGTGAAAATTTCATGAATTCTGACCCATTACTTTTATATACAACAAAAATGTGACAAAGTTTTAAGCCATATTCTTAGAAAATTAAAATTTTTACTACTTCATTTCACATGGAATTGCTCATCAGTTAATACATCAATTGGAGACATAATTAAATTCTTAAATGCACTAAACTTTTACAAATACTATCCTCTTTCTATTATCTTTTGCATAGCTAAAAATTGCAGAAAGGTGCACCATTACTTGATCTTCTGTTATTTTTAATTTCTGAGCAGCTACTTCTGAAAACAATAAGAAAAAAAGAGTATTTAAAAATGACATACAAACATATATGTACGAAAGATAAGAATAAGAATAGTAAACTAAAACTAAAAATTCTTACCTACTAAATATTTGCAAAATTTGAAGTCTTTAAATAGTTCTTTTCCTGAAACTTTTTTAGCTACAGTAAGACTTGATATTAAACTTCTGCTAAGAAATTTTCTTGTTAATGTTCCCAGCGTTCTGCGATGTTCTGCGTTAGAATTTAAATGAAAGTCCAAAGTTCCCTTCTGTAAATTAATGTTAATAGTTTAGAGAAATATTTTATTATATAAACATCCAATAATTTTCTTAAAAAGGAAGTCAGAAAAAAATAAAAGCTCCATATAAATTAATTGAGATTAAAGCTTTTTACTTAAGCCTTTTAATTATTAAATTTTTGCAATCTATATACTTACAAAGCGTTGACAGCATTCTTCGCTTGAGAGCTTAGAATCAATTTCGAGTAAATCATCCAAGTTCTGTAGTGGAAACTGAATATCAAAATCTGCTTCAAATGTTCCTTCTTTTGTATATTTTGAACTTTTTTCAGCTTCCATTGTAGCCCTCAGAAAACTAACTTCATTTTTGAGATCAACAACCATTCCTATGAGCATATTCATTTTTTCTAGAACTGCATTGTTAACTGTAAGAGATCATATTGAATTTTAATTTAATTTAATTTAAAAATGATTAATTAAATAGGACTCTGCGATAACTTACTTGTATTCTGTATTGAAGTTTCATCTATCGAAAGTGGTCTTTTATTAGATTTACCATCATTTAGATAAGCAAGTTTGGAATTTAATCTCATTTGCTTTTTTTTTACTGTAAATTTATAATGCTTTTATTATAGGTAAAAAGAAATTACACTTAATGCTTTTTCTTTTCGAAAAAGAAAAATACTTACTATTATTATTATTATTATTTAATGTTTTTACTATTTTTCGAGGTTGTATATCCTCCTCTTCACTGCTACCTACATAATGGTTTCCTTTTTTTTTAAAAACCGAAGAAAGATCATGTCTTCTTTTTTTTGGAAATGTCGGTACAGTATTATTTTCGTTCTCATCTAAAAGTATTCCATAATTAAATAGTGCTACTGTATATATCAAAATTAATTTATTTAACTATAAATGTATTGTGCTGCAATAAATTATCTTTACAAAAATTATATTTAATTTAATAATTATAAATTTTCTAATTTATAATTGATATTTTTATTACCATCAATTGTAGCAGAAAAGGACATTTTTCTTTTAAATTTGTTTATCTGCATTCGGGAAGGTGTATTAGAGATGTCATCTAAAAAGCCATCTTCTTGCTCATCTGGAATTATTTGTAAAACGTTGTATGTTTTTAAGTTAATCAAATTTTGTCTTAATCATATTACAAAATTTATTAATTAACATTTAATTATTACCTTAACAGCGTCCGGATATTCAGGATATCCTACGAATGTTCTAAGGGATATCCGGAAACTATTATAGCCGTAGAAGGTTCCAGGGATGTCCTGGAATATCTTAGGATATCCAAATTTCCAGATCTGACTTGAACGTCCGCAGGATATCCTAGAATACCCGTTGCTTTTAAGGTATGAATATTCTTTTACCTGCTACTGCAAGAGGATCAGACACTTTGATCTCATTCCTTTCTAATACCATCTCATTTAAAGAGGGTGCCTTGAGAATATTATTTAGATTATCATCATATGGATTATAATCTTTAACTAATTGTTCAATTTGTTCTTTTTTTGAAATGTTGTCTATTTCTGCGTCGGTCGTGAACGCATATTCTTCCATGCGCAGAATATTTAGACGATCCACTGATTGTTCGTAAGAATCTGTAATGATAATGAAATGTTACTTTAAAATAATATAACGTGTTCTACTTTTTCAAAAATCTATTGTTATTTGGATAACTAACCTGCATGTCCAAGGATTTTTATGCAGTACTCTGGCCAATTCAGTGGTGCTTTTTGTTGCTTCCGAATCATGTCATAGAGTACATTCTTTGTTTCATCAGTGTATGGTTCAGGCATAAATTTTGAAACAAGTCTTTTCTTAACTTTATCGTATCTCATCCATTTAAATAGGGTGATGTCCACGGACCTTTTTTTCGGCTGTCTACCCACTTGAATAAATTGAATTAACTGAAATGGTTTTGCAGTTAATACTGTGCTAGCCATTCTGCTGTGAAAAAAAGCTATGATTAAAATAATTTTTGTATTTAGACTTACAATAGTGCTTTTAATTAATTAATTTAGAAAACTTATTCCTAAAAGGCAAAACATTTGAGCTCAATATTGTCTCAATATTGCAATAACTGGATATCCCAGGATATCATGAAAACATCTCGTAGATACTTTAGGGATGTCCTCGAGATATCTGATGGATAATATTAGGATATTCTAAAGATCGTTGAGTTAGATATCCTAGGGACATCCTTAGGATATCTGAAGATATTCATAAGATATCCCAAGGAAATTCCTAATATATTCGCAAAATATCCTTGCATTAATCCTAACATATCCTTATAGGGTATCATCACGATATTCATAAATTAATTCTACCCTCATAGCCCTGCGATACTTCAGGATATCCCTGGGACGTTCTAGGGATATTCATCTAATTTTGGCGGATCGGATATTTATGGACATTACCAGGATAACCAAACCGCCGCAAAAAATAGATATCCCCAAGATGTCCCAGCGATATCCTATAGATATATGTGTTATGAGATTCAGAATGCACCTAGAAAGTTGCAGTTTTTTCCTAATTTTGCAATTTACTAAATCTTATATGATTACAGATAAAGAATAAAAATTGAACTATTGTTTAAACAATTTTTATAAATTGTCCTATCTATGACATTCATTGTTCATTTGCACAGTTGTACTGGGTGCAAATTGATCATGTGTAATACCTTTGAAAAATTTGAAAACACTGTATTAATTTATAAAATTACAGTGAAAATTTAGTAAATAACAATTTGTTTAAAAATTGTTTAAACAATAGTTCAATTTTTATTCTTTATCTGTAATCATATAGAGTTTAGTAAATTGCAAAATTAGGAAAAAACTGCAACTTTCTAGGTGCTTTCTGGAAAAAGTTGGTAAATAACAACAACAATTTGTTTAAAAATTGTTTAATTGTTTATTTTGCCCTAAAACTCGATAATTTTTATTTTTTCCTAAATGTTAATTTTCCTATAGTATTTTACTTAAAAAATCACTAAGTAAAAGGATTTTGCAAAAAAACTTTATTATTCTTGTTGTTAATAATTGAAAATTTTTATTATTTTTTTTAAAAAATGAATTTCAGAAAAACTTGTCAACTGATTTCAATGATTCAACCGGCATTATTTTTGTCTGAAATCCAAATTACAAAAAAAATTTTTTTGTTTGAAGATATTGGATTTTAATTAACAAAAAATTGTTTATTTATAAAAATTATTTAAATAACTACTTTACCCATACATTTTTATGTTGAAAAAATGTTATACTTATTCTTTAAACCTTTTTAAATAATATTTCGAAGAGAAAAAAATAGCACGCATTAAGAAGTAGGTAAAAAAATTATTTTTTAGAATTACAAACGAAATAATTCACCCGAAATACATTTATTCGCATGCGCCGCGAACAAAAGAATTTAAAGTATAATCCTCTAAAAGAAAATTATACTGCAACGCATGCGCATGTCTGTATTACGTGTGAATTATTTCGTTCGTACTTTTAAAAGATAATTTTTTCACCTATACTTCTTAATACGTTCCATTTTTTTTTCTCTTGGGAATATTAATGAAAAAGGTTTAAAAAATAAGTACAATTTTTATCAACTAAAAAATCCATGGTTATTTAAATAATTTTTTTGTTTATTAAAATTCAATATCTTTAAACAAAAAAATTTGTATTTGAAATTTGTATTTAAGACAAAAATAATGCCAGTTGAATCATTGAAATCGGTCAACAAGTTTTTCTGAAATTAATTTTTTTAAGAAAAAGTAATAAAAATTTGCAATTATTAATAACAAGAGTAATTTTTTTTTATAAAATCCTTTTGCATAGTGATTTTTCATGTAAAATGCTACAGGAAAATTAACATTTAGGAAAAAATAAAAATTATCGAGTTTTAGGTGACACGTTTCAGAAATTCTTACTCAAGTATAAATTTAAATAGTATTAAAGTAGAACTTTTGTTTTTGCCAATCTAAAATTTTTGCAGAATGTTGTTTTAGGTCCTAAGTGCTTTCATTTTATGCATAACTAGTAGCCCGCCTTCGAGCTATAGTATTGACAAAACTATTACTCATCATGCTTTTGACTATATTCTAATGTTTTCTAAAACTTATAAATATAAAAAGACAAGCATTAGTAGAGAGACCAAACAATAATCTTTGAAATTCATACTGGGTGCAATATAACTTTTTAACAGCTTATGGAAGGGAAGATACCTGACGGGCTGGGGTTTTCCCCAAAATTTTATTGGCACCAGTACAGAAAGTTTGTAAGATTCTATATCCTGTTCTACGAGTGAATAGGACTTTTGTAAAATACAATTTTAAAACTTTTTTCCACTCTTTAAAAAAAACTGCGCGTTGGAAAACATTCTTCTATAGAGCAGAGTATAAATATCCATATTTCTTGAAAATATTTACTATATAGAAAAACACTAAAAAAATGGTAGATTGTTTGATGTTTTTAATATATATTAATATTATATCAAATTTATAGATATTTCAATATTTATTTTAAAACAATTATTCTATTTTTTAATAAAATTTAATTTAGAAATCATTTAATAATTGAGTTGTCAAGTTTAATTCTTCGAAAATACTTTTTACTACTTTTTTAATATTAATAAATTATTGAGTACTAAGCCTGCTGCACTGCAAAAAGAAGCATCTTAATATAAGATGCTATTTTTGAAAAATTCGAGAATTTTTTGTTCAAATTTTAAAATGAAATTATTAAAAACTAATCATTATATTTCAGAATAAAAATTCAAACACTATTACAGTCTTACGACAATTTTTTAAAATTTAATTATTTCTAAAAATTCATATTGTCACGATTCTAATATTCAATTAAGAAGCCAGTAAAAAAACTCGCGCGTTTTTCATTTTTTCTTTGCCATGTATTGATTTTAGCAAAATTTCGCCAAAAATGAGAACCAAAAATATTTTTATTAACAAAAAAATAGTTTTTAATAATTATTTTTTCAATTTGGGAAAGTTTGAAAATGAATTCTTTGTTTTAAAAATGAATTTATAACTGTTAAGAACACCATTTAAAAGAGTTTTTAATGGGACGACTTTCAGCTTTATTAATATGAATTTTTAGAATTAGGTGTGCGAGTTTAGGTTGCAACCTAAAAATAATAATAATTAGTAAATAATTAGTAATAATTAGTGCAAATAATTAGTTTTACATGTAAAACTAATTATTTGCAATAGGAATATTAGAGAAAAACTAAATAAAGTAATGATCACTGAATTGAATATGTAATTTATTCTACATATACGCTACGCACTTTTGTATTTTAAAGTGGAAGCTGCAGCAAGCTTAAAGTTTGCACGCACTTATATATACTTTTCTCACAATTACCTTGTTTTTAATGAATATTCCAAATAATCACACACTAAAAATCACAAGACACAAAATGTGGCAAATCTTTTAAGTTTTCAACACAGTGTTCTCTTCACGACGAATGCTTCGATTTAACTGGTAAATATAAGGGTAAATAGAGGATCCAGGTAAACAGGGGCGGTGCAATTATTACCTTTCGGAAATGTATAGAGAAGTGAGTTGCTGGAAAAGGAAATATTTAAGGCAAAGTAGGTAAGTAAAGTATCCTAGGATCATCTTAATGATATCTGAGGATATCCATAAGATATTCTCTGGAAATTATGAAAATACCCTAGGCATATCACTAAGTTAACCATATAATATCCTAACATTATTTGTTTTTAATACATGGTGATATTTTTAATACATGGTGATATCCTCAGGATAGCACGATTTACATAAAGTAACACTTTATAAATTAAAATACTATTATACATTGAATAAGTGAACGAAATATCTCACGGATATTGATATCTTTTTATCCTAAGGACACCCTACTGGCGTCCTAGGGACATCATAAAAATATCCTACAAACTGATGATTTCAATATCATATGGATAACCTTTAGAAATATTAGGATATTCTGCGGACTTTGTATATCCTACATTTGTTCAGGATATCCTGATGATATGCTTTTGTTATGAGGGTAACTGATTTTTCTATATATAGCATCCTAAAAGCAGTGTATTTTCTGGGACATACAGAGGATTACTAGAGATATCCAAGGCTCTGGATATGTTAAAGGAATCCGTAGAATATCCTGAATATCCGAATGTTGTTATGGTAAATCCTAATGGCAACGAATATTCTAGGATATTATATACTCATGGACTATATTTCACTAATTTTCTATTCTATAATATCATACGGATATCCTAGTCAAAAATTCAAAAACTTTAATAAAGAAATTCGTTAAATTAAATTTTATAAAAATATTTCTAAATAATTTTTGAAAGACAATAGTTTTACAATTACATACAATTAAAAAATAGCCAAAAAATGGAAAATTTGCTAAAATCTTTTAAAAAGTAATTTTTTACTAAAATCCTTGAAAAATAATTTAAATTTGATGAAATCTTTTAAAAATAATTGAGTTTCTAAAAAATGAAAAAAAAATAATCAACTTTTTGAAGAATTTTAAATTATAAATAATTTTTAAAAAATATTAAAAAAATAATCAACTTTTGGGAGAATTTTAATTATAATTAATTTTTCAAAAATTCCAAAAAAGTAAATTTTAAAAAATTTTAATTTATTTTGTTCGAAGGTAATTTAATCTTAAACAATTATGATAAAACAATTCTAAGAATTAGTTTTTTTATAAATATTGTAACGTAATTTTTCAAAAATAATTGAGGACTTTTTGTATAATAATTTAGAAGAAAAGGAATTTTTTGAAGAATTTTAATTAAAATTTTTTAATATTATTATTTCTCCCGAAATGTTAAAAATAATTGTAAAAAATTTTAAAATATTATTTTGTGTATGTATTTGAATTTTCGGAAATATTGAAAATATTGAAAAATTTTTAAATATTAGAATATAGAGAATTTCTTTTTTCAAAACTATTTTAATATTATTCTTAGAATAATTATTCTATTGAATTGATTATTCTTTATTAAATGGACACTTGAAGATCATTCATTAAAATATTTTAGATGTAATAAGAATTTAAATATAATTTAAGTATTAATGTCGGTTACACATTTATTTTTAATTTTAAAAAAATACTTTTTATTTAAAACACCATAATAATGCACTGAGAGACCTTTTGGACTGCAGCGGAACAACGTATGAGATAGCAGCTCCACTATGGTTTTAGTGCGCTGCGATACAATTTTGGGCGCGTGACAGTCCAAAATGTTGGTGAGAAGCTCACCGAAGTAGTGGGGATGACGTCATTGGTTTGCAGGTAATCAACTGTCACGCGCCTAAAAGTATAGTCCTGTAGCGTACTACCAAAATGGTCAGTAGCAGCCTATCGAAAGTCTGCTGCTGACCCAAAGGTCTCTCAGTGTGACAAAGTTTTCACGCGTGGATTCAGTTTCTCTTGCAAATTCTGAAAAGCAACTGACGCTTAAAGTACCTTTTGACGGAAATTTCCAAATGTTTCCTTCATTTTTTTTTATCTGAAAAATTTTACAAAGTTTCCATGTGAAAAAAAACTCGAAATTTGAAAAGTCATAAAATAAAAGATCTCTTGCAAGGCGAAACCCTTCGCTAGCCATTTTAAGGCAAACCAGATGTGACACAAACCTTTAAAAACGAAAAAAAATTTCACACGATCTATACTTTCGGTTTTAAAAATATTTTACGGTATACTTGATACAAAATTGAACTAATTTAAAACATATTTTTGTCGTTCGTCATGGTTTTTTTCAAATATTGTGACCATAGTCAAAATATAGAAACAGATTTAAAGTATAGTTTTCTCGTTGGCCATGATTTGTTAGATTCTAAACATGGTAAAAAATATAGAAATTTTTTTGGTTTACTTTATTTTTGACATTGGTATAAATGGTTAGACAATTTTCACAATTTTCATAAATAGATTAATTTCAAAGGTTTTAATTTGAAATTCTGTAAAATTTCAATTTTGAATGAATTAATTAAATAATAAAAATTCTACATGAATTATATTTGTTTATAAATATTTTAGTAAAATTCTTCCCAATATTTCAATTATTTTCATAAGTAATCAAATTTCTTTAAGGAGATATTCAATTATTTTCATAAATAATAAAACTTATCGCAGAATTTTAATTATTTTTAATACAATTTTAGTCGAATTCCCCGAAAAATGTAATTATTCTTAAAAATTTTATTAAAATTCATCAAAGAAATTCAATTATTTTAAAACGCGATTTCTCCAAAATTTTAATAAATCTAAAAAGTCATATGTTGTTAAAATGTTAAAAATAATTGTAAAAAATTTTAATGTTATTATTTTTTGTATGTATTTGAATTTTTGGAAATTTCTATTTAAAAATATTGAAAATATAATTAAATTTTAAAAAATTAGAATGCAAAAATTCTAAGACTTATTTTTATCAAACATATTTTAATATAATTGTTTTTGTAGCTAATTTTCATTAATTACCATTTTTAAATTTACACTTGAAGATTTTTCATTAAAAGTTTTGAGAAATCAATTATTTTCGAAATTTGCAATTAAAATTCTTTTAAAGTTTATTTTCAAAAATTTTTATCAAAAACTTTGAAAAAAATTCATTATTTTCAATTAAATTTTACGAAATTTCAATTATTGAAACTTTTTTTTATTGTAAATTTTGAAAATTTAGTAATTTATAAAAATAGTTGAATTGTTTCGAAGAAATTATTAAAAATTTTGGTTTTTTTTCGAAAAACTCTTTTTTTTTAAAAATACAGTTTTCAAAATTCCGGAAAAAATATATATTTTAAAGCGGACATTCTAAAAAATTTTATAAATAAAAATTGTTATTATATATAATATATATAAAGTATTAAAAATATAATAAACCTTATATGTAATTATTATTACATATTCTTGTCGTTAAATAAAAACCAAAGATTATTATATTAATGCTGGAACTATGTGGAAAAAATAGAATTTCTCAGCGAAAAACATGGAAGTTAGAAAGAGTTGAAGAGGGCAGCAGTAACATGCTAATAGCAAAATGTAGTTAAAATTTCGGCATCCCCTTTATTACAGTAAGCCAGTATTTTAGTCTTCCTACCTGTTTGAGAGATCATTCGAGTTGAGGTTACCGACTTTTACTTATTTGTACAATTGACATAGTACTTTTGGTACCTGCAGGTAGATAGCGTTGCTAAAAAGGTTACCATGTCTGGTTCTGCTCTGGACCATATAAATTACCAGGTCTGTTACAGATCTGGAATAACAGATCTGCATCAGATCTGTACTCTGGTACTGACTTGGATTTTGCTACCCGGGTTATAATACACGCCGTAAATATTGAAAAATAATTATTATTCAGAGCAAATTGCCAAAGGAAACTTATGAATGAATCGTTAAATTATTTTTTTACTTCTGAATAAAAAACTGAATTATCCATTAAAGATTATTTATTCTATTACTTTCAGTGATTCGTAACCATAAATATTTTTTGTTGCATTCACTTCGATCTTTTTTTGGTTAAATTGAAATTTAAAAAAATTCGTTTGTTTTTAATATTTGTTAAATATTCCGTATTTTCGGTCTTTTTTGGTTGAATATCTTTTTTTATAACCAAATATCACTTCTACAGAATAAAGGACTTTTTTTAAAAAAATTTTGTTCATAAATTATTCGGTAAAGTTCCATTATCTTTCATATATTAACACACTTGATTCTAATATATCTAGTAAAATTAGTATTATAAAATTTTTTTTTTTTTGCTGATAAATGATTAATTTTTTTTTTAACAACTATTGCAAAATATCAATCAATTTATTGAATTAAAATATTGATGAGTAATTTATTATATACTATCTAAAGATATGTTCTCCAATTACATAATATACTTCTTTTCTAATCACTAAAAAATTAATGGCTATCAAAAAGGAAAATTAAATTATTATTAAATAAATTAAATCATGTGTGGATAATTCTTATTTACTGTGTTTGCACTTTATAAGGGTTTTGTTTAAAAAAATTATTTTTTAAAAACAGGAAAGTATATTAAAAATTAATAACATACGCTGCTGTATATGCATGCAATGGAATAATATATTGATTCGTCATTTTTAAAAATATCCTCAGCAATGTTCAATTACACTACATTAAATTGATTATATATATATTGTCATAATTATAGTACTCCCAAGAAATAGTGATACGGATAAACATTGTTATTAATTTTTTCTTTATTATTCGATGGAATAATAAATTATCAAACCTAATAGTATTTATACTAATATTATTATTAGTATATGCTACTATTAATACAACAATTATTATTATGTGTAATAATAATAATAATAATAATAATAATAATAAAAATAATACTAATAATGATATATAAAATATTAATAAAATAGTTGAAATACTTATTAGAAAATTTCATTTAAAAACTTAAGTAAATACCTTTACTTCATATGTCGTGTTTCGTGCAAGAATTATGACTGCATTTTTTTCTTTTATTCTTTTTACACAAACTCTAATGCCGTGTAATTTTATGGTTTGAAATATCAATATATATAGTATATTTCATTTTATAGAGTAATGAAAGAAGGTAATCATTCTCATGGTCGAATAGAAATTCGCCTCGTAGTATATTCAATGGCATTAACTTTGGGGCTTTACTTAGGTCTCTAAACAAAATTTTCTTTTTTCTAGGGGGGTCATAAAATTCTCTTCCCTTGAAGTTCATCCTTATGGATAGACATTGTATGTTTGCGGAACAAAGTACAGTGCTTTCTTTAACTGTTACATTATAAAATATATATATATATATATATATATACAAGAACGTGGTTTCAAAATAGGGAGAATAAGATGCAGACTAGCGTCTGCTTTATTTTAAAAAATTGATGACACGTTGAGGAGAC